AATGTGTTCATCAAGTAGATCATCAGGATTATGGTCCACTCGAATCTGCTAGTGAGCGATCGAGGTGATATCCGAGCTCAACAATTAGTCTATCAGTTCATCAAGAGCTTGATTCATCTTTAGATCTCATAGTGTTTCAGAGATTTCTACTGGTGTTTTTAAAGCCTATATACAATCTCGACTATAAATTTATACGTATACTTTGTAAAAGTGATGAATTTCAGATGTTCATATACCACCGTCAGTGCCATATTCGTCGTCGTCGTCGTCGTCTTCGTATTTGCTTTCATTTGCTTCCTCTCCTTCATCGTCTCACTCTTCCTCTTCACCCACACCATCCCCATCCTCGTCATCATCACGAATCGCTGCTTCTTCCACTTCTCCACCAACAAATGTCTATTCGAAAAAACGCAAAAAATCTTCATCTTTTGCGGTGTCCGATTGCTCGTGTATACATCCGTGTGATTTAATCGAAGGTGCTGATGCATCGCCATTCGCGTCCACCTCGCAAATCATTCGTTATGTCGGCGATTACGCGCCTCAAAATCGTCCTGAAGGGGTTCGTTTGCTCAAATCTCATTTGTCCGTTAATTACTTGACTCCGCACTTCCCTTTACTATTTCGATTCTTCACTTGCAAAACCCACACAATAACCAATTGCGGTTCATCGCAGAACTCCTGTTGTGAGCTGATGAATAGAGCGCGTCATAGTGCTCAATTCCACTGTGTGAACTAAACCAATTGATGATCAAGTCATAATTCAGTGTTGCTATGAAAATCAAACTCATCTTTTATTCATTAATGAGCTCACTGGCTTGTTTGAAGGATTTACCTCTGAACTACCATAGTATCTGATAGTCAAAGATTCTCAAGATGAATATNCACTGTTTCAGATCTACGACTTTTTCTCGTCGCCAAATCATTGCTCATCAAGACGTCGATACTGTGATGCGTTGCGGGAACGTCAATACGCATGGAAGGAATCCGTGAGACGAGCTCAGTTTCGTACCTCTTCTACAACAGAACAGTCACAATCATCAAGGGAACATCTTGATTCCGTCTCATCAACAGTATTATCACCAGCAGTCACACCTCATCATCACCCGACCACATCAGCACCGAGCAATCGTCGTTCCAACAACTACGTCGGATCCATACATCATCCGGGTTCTTCGAATTTCCTAGAACTGCCCGATGAGAACGATGGAATCGCAAAGAGTCTGTCAGCCTATGCAGATGATCGATACGATATGATCCAGTTGTCGAACGGTGATGCTGACGAGCGCAATCGCCGACGACAGAATGAAGTGTATCGCTTGGATTCCACAGGTGGTGACGAAAATGATTTAGGCGACGAGGCGATGGATGATGGCTATGAGAAACGGGCGGGGAATGAGCCTGAGGAGGTGGATAACTATATTAGTGAATGGCGAACGACAGCAAGATCAAGACGTCGGGTTGTGATGAGAAATGCTGAGTCGAGAGTGCAATGGAGGAGGGCATCTTCCTCATCGTCTGCATCACGGCTAATCGCCTCGACTGATCGATATCGCGTCGTATCACGGTTGTTTCTTCGTATGGTGACTGAAGTGCTGTTCTTTTCGTTGTTTGCTTTCGTTGTTTTTTGGTAATATTTGCTCAGAACACCGCCATTTTTTCAACTTTTTTAATTTTCGTTGTCATTTTGTGTTTAGTGTTGAGAATGAATCAATTGGTTTCCCAATTTTTAATGTCTAAAATGAATTCGACTTCATTCGTTCCATACACTGTTGACGTATTTCAATTTCAATTCAATGGTTTGCCCGGAAAAACAATGATGAATTTGTGTGTGTTTCACGTGTATTATTTCTGTTCCATTGAGAGTTGAAGAATACTTTTTGATGTCTGCTAATGCTCTAGCATAAATGCTGACAGAGAACATTTGTCGTCGTGCGTTGTTTCACCTCAACTCGCCGCTTTTCACCAAGATAAGCACGAATAAGTTGAAGACGGAGAAGTGATTAGATGAATCTTTCGGAATCGTCAACATTCTAACTGTATTCATTCACTTAAGAGTTGAATTGAGGATCGAATTTTGTTGATCATCCGGAAACGATCTGTAATGATTGAATCACTGCTGCTGCTGTTGCTGCTGCCGATACGAAGAGATCATCAATCGATTTGATTGATCAAATCAATTGATTTGACTGATTCACTGGTCAAATTCACTTGTTCACGCAAAATGCGTTCACTGAAATTATCCGTTTAACGCAGATTCGCTTGATTTCAAATTGAAAATGAATATTCAGTATCAAAATC